AGAAAAGAAATTGAAGTACCACGGTAAATTATTTGAGCATGCCTTGGAAATTTTATCTTAACATACCGTAGCAAACTTTTCTGTTTTTACGATGGCATACTTGGCAGTTTTTATGCTACATAACATGGCAACTCTGTTTGGGTTTTAAGATGGATTTCCTTTTTAAATTACATGAATCTTGAAAATGGCCAAAAATTTTGTAGAATTTTTATCATGAGCATGAAACTCATGCCTTTTTAAGATGGCAACATTTGGGATATTTTTGTTTCCCATACCATACAGCCTATGGGGAAATAAAAGAATTTTCAGTACTCCCTCTTGTAAACTAATATAAGAGCTTTTATATTAGTTTACAGAGATCTAAACGCTCTTATATTAGTTTACAGAGGGAGCATTTTTTTTGTTAGAAAATTTTCAGTATTTTGCTAGCAGGAAGTACTTTTGGGCCATAAACTTTTGGGTGAAACATATCTGAAAGGAAAACCACTTACCGCTCCCGTAGGGTAGCAGTAGCAAACACACTGATGGAGAATGGACTGTCCAAATATACGTACACCCTTTGTTTTTTGGAGCTACTGGAGTAGCGTCATGCTCCACCGAATACGTATAATCTTATGGTAAGGAAGCGATCGGGAGGAATGATTGATGAGCAGTAAAGAATGGGGGCAGTTCGTGCGCGCATGGCAGGACACAGCTGGTGGTGAGCTCAGGTGTGTCAGTGCGCGCGTGTGCCTGCCTGCCTGTGCACGGCGATCCCACAGCCCACGCCCGAACAAAGTCTACTTAATCCTCCTCCTTAATTAGAATTTATATATAGTACTGTACTTCTTCTAGTACGTACTCCCTCCGTCCGAAAATACTTGTCATCAAAATGAATAAAAGGGATGTATCTAGATTCAAGAGTTTTCAACTGATTTAGGAGTAGTTTATTTATGTCTGCACAGCGCCAAAGAGAAAGCTCAGACCTGCATGGAAAGACAGCTTCGAGCGCGGCAGATGCAGGCCCCGAGCTTGCTCTGAGTTGTTCTCAGCTCCAACAAGTTGCGGTGTAAACGTGAGCTGCCGTGCGCATGGCCAGCAGCGTGCGCACGGGCAACTCAATCATGCGGCGGCACTTGAAACTGGATGGCCGGTGGCAGAGCAGAGCGCGCCGCGGGGCGCAGCAATCGTGACGCCGCCGTGCGCGCGGAGGTTGGATTCCTCCGCTGACTCTTCCAGGCGGCCTCGCACTCGACGCCGCTGCTTCCCCTGCTGGCCTGCTCGTGAAAGCTCGCGTGGCCGTTGGATCGAGTGATCTGAGGACGCAAACGCACGCTCACACGTCAGAGGAAAAAAAATGAGGTGCCTCGTGTTTCTGCAACGTTTATATTGCTATTGATGATGTTTTGATGTTTTGTCACCGTGTCAAAAAATGGCGACGGCGACGCCCTCCGTGTCCTACGGCGTCATCGTGCCAAATCGACCATCACCACATTCTCAATTGGCGCTTATTATCTACTCCCTCCGTTTCAAAATAGATGACTCAGCTTTATACTAACTTTAGTATAAAGTTGGATCATCTATTTTGGAACGGAGGGAGTATAAGCAGAGTTCTGTCTTGCCGCAACTTTGTGTTATCCTCACAATGGTGTTGTTTCATCCATTTATGGGTGGAGAACATGTCGTTGTCTCGGATGTGATACCAGAGGCCCCGAGAAAAATCGGAGGAGATCACTCCGATTAGGATGGGCTTTCCGTAATAGTTATTGTGCTAACTCAATCATCACTAAACCCAAGCACACGTGCACATGTGAGAGGAAATAAGTGCCTTGCTTTTCTCACGACGTTGCCAAATATGGTGAAACTCCGAGTTCTATGATGTCATTGTGCTAAGTTAATCGCCATTGCACTTCCAATTGGTGCTCACTTTTTATAGGCAGTTTTGTGTGGCCGCAACTTTATTTTTAGTCTCATAATTCTATCCTTTTATCCCCGTTATAGGTGGAGAACCAGTCATTGTCTCGGATGTGACACCGACGACTCTAAGGAAACGGAGCAGAGATCACTCACATTAGGATGGGCTTTCCATAATAGTTATTGAGCTAACTCGATCAACACTAAACCCAAGCACACGCTCACACGTCAAAGGGAAAAAAAGTGCATTGTGTTTCTGGTTACCTTGCCAAATATGGTGAAACTCGGCGGCGATGCCCTCCGAGTTTTGCGAGGTCAACTTTCACTCGAGCTTATTTAAGCGGTCCATCTTTCTGTTATTTTATTCTATTTTAATACTTTTGTTGTTTCACCCATGTATGGGTGGCACCTATCTATCCATCATAACCAAAAAAGATACTTAGCGAGTAACCATATGTAGTTGCATCTTTTCTGATCTTATCGTATTGGTAATACCAGATCTAACGTTTTTTTACGTCAAAATGATATCTGAAACGAATAACTATGGTTAATGATTAAAACTCACTCCATTTTTGTTCCAATGAAGGTGGGTCATCATTAAGTAATAAAATAGGATGATAAATATAATCTAACGGCCCCACATAAGATTATATTGGGGCTAGGTACCATTTATTTACTCGTTTGGTCCAATCTACTCAAACGGGCCATATAAGACCAGCGGGCATTTAATGGGGTGCTCGGTGTGGCTGCATGGGTGGGGATATGTGTCGCTTTCTGCAAGAGAATCCATCCCCTCGACTCAAGGCCGCCACAAATGGGCTACCCCAACTCAGCGTTCATCCTTTTTCATTAGTTATTTATTTTTGAAATACTTATATATTTTCGAAAATAATATAGATACATATATTCCAAAAAAAACTACATGTACTTCATTTTTTAAATATTTACCATGACTTTTTTTAAAATGTTAGCACAATGTAAAGTTTTTGTTATGTAAAAGTTTTGATATCATTCACAAAATGTTTTGTGTCATTTAAAAAATGTTAACGTGTTTTTAAATTTATGTATTTTTTTTATAAAAATCTTATGCATTGTAAAAAATGCTCGTGTATTTCAGAAAAATGTTTTTGGCCAATTCAAAAAATTAGGTTCCATTTTCAAAATGTTCATGCGCTTCAAAAACATGTTATTGACTTAAAATATATTTATACAATATAAAAATTGTTCGCGTAGTTAAAAACATATTTGCATCATTCATAAAAATGTTTTAACTTGTATTTTAAAGAAATTATTAATACATATTAAAAATGTGCATAAATATGTATTTGAAAATGTTAATCGTGTATTAAAAAAAATGCTAAACATCTATTAAAATGTTTCATATGTGTACCAAAAAATGTAAAATGTGTATGAAAGAAACATCAAAACCTATTTGAAATTTTTAGATTTTGTACAAAAAATGTTACTAATATATCTGAAAAATGTTAAACGTTTATGAAAAAATATTCCTGCTCTATATGAAAAATGTATAATTGGTATAAAAAATGAAAAAAATCGAAGAAAATAGGTGAAAAAGGAAAAACGAAACAAGGAAACCCGAAGAAAGATACAAAGATAATCAAATAAAAAAGAAAGGAAATCAAATAAAACTGAAGAAAACAGTGTTACCCCCGATGAGAAACCGCTGAGAAAAACACACGTGTCCGGAGCTGCACTATTGGGCCGACCCAGTTACCTCCACGCTGAAGGCGAGCTTGACCTCTGCCTCGCGGTAGGCGATACATAGCTCTGGCGTAATTGGACTGGATGAACCTTCTAAACTTGTGAAGTTAGAAAAAGAATGTTCCAGCATTATAGTGATGTTGCTGACAAAGTTGGAAATGAAACAAGTACAAAAAGAACATGTGCCAAAGCTACAATAACCGCGAGATGGTCATTTCAATCCAGTTTAATAACACGAATCAAGCTTGTCTAAATTCTTGAACAAACACCAAACCATCCGCATACGACATATCCCCCTCGGTTCACACATAGCTTCCAGACTAAGAGTTGAAGCCTTGCAGGTTCGAACTTGAAGAGTCTGGTATTGAAGAGATCCGGCAAAAAAATGAAATAGATCACTACATATTTGAAGAATTGCCAATCTACATGGTGCCATTTGTCTGGTTAAAATCGCATCCATATCGATGGACATGTTGTTAACACCCGGCCATCCCCATTTCGTTTTGAACTACTAAATAAACATTACAACCATACCATATATGATGGCGATTTGACGGTCGAGAGAGAAGTTTTGGAAAACCTTTTCGTTTACAACTTCGTTGTGAATGCATCTTATAATCCCAGCCATTGAGTACTCTTGGTACACCCACATTATTTGGCCTGTTTGACGGTTCTTCAAAATGGTGCAATAAACTCGGAACAGTGATGTTTACATTTATGTATTGCACCATGTTATTTCAAAGCCAAACCAGATATATATGTAGCTTCAGAAGAAAAAGACAAAACAAAAATTGCCCCCGAAGAAAAAGAAGAAGAAGAAGAAGAAGAAGAAGGAGACGAAATCGACATTGATGGTTCTTATCAATGGGCCGAATTCACAGCCCAGTTTAATTGAACTAGCCGGTGCCATTGATAGCTCTATTTGTATATATTTGTGTTAAAGAGCTGTGGTTGAAATTTGGATTTGGATTCCCATGACATGATGTATATTCCATCCGTCTCATAATGTAAGACTTTTTTGACACCCCATCTCATAATGGAAGATATTTTTTGACTCTAGTTTTTTGACACTAGTGTACGTCTTACGTTATGGGACGAAGGGAGTAGCACATGTTTAATCTTTTTTTATTGAATTTCTTCATCGTTAGTACTAGTACAAGATTTTGGGAATTTGGAGGAGTGCCTGTGACAAGGGGCCTCCAGCTTTGCTTTTACTGAAATGTTGTGCAAACAGTCTGCAGATAAGCGAGGGAGCAAAGCTGTCACTCGCTAGGCGGAACACACGCCTCCCATCGTCCGCCGAACAACAAGCGTTCCAGATTCCGATCGTCAAACCAATCACGCACGCAGCCCACACCGCGCTCCCTGCTGCCCACAGCTACGCCATGGCATTGGCGACGCCGCTCCGCCACCTCCTCGCCGCGCAGCCCGAGCCCGCCGCCGGAGCGGCGCCGTCCTTGGCCCTGACGCAGCCAGGACGCGCCTTCCCACCCCACCGTGGCGTCCGCTTCCGCGCCAGGCACGCGGCGGCGCCCTTATCGTCGCCACCTGCCAGGGCCGCCGGGGTCGCGGCGAGGGCGGCGGGCGGGGGGCGGCCGACGGTGCTGGTCACGGAGAAGCTGGGGGCGGCGGGGCTGGAGCTGCTGCGGGCGTTCGCCAACGTGGACTGCGCGTACGAGCTGACGGCGGAGGAGCTGCGCGCCAAGGTGTCGCTGGTGGACGCGCTGGTGGTGCGCAGCGCCACGCGGGTGACCCGGGAGGTCTTCGAGGCGGCGCGCGGGCGGCTGCGCGTCGTGGGCCGCGCCGGCGTCGGCATCGACAACGTCGACCTCCAGGCCGCCACGGAGGCCGGCTGCCTCGTCGTCAACGCGCCCACCGCCAACACCGTCGCCGCCGCCGAGCACGCCGTCGCGCTGCTCGCCGCCATGGCCCGCAATGTCGCCCAGGCCGACGCCTCCCTCAAGACCGGTACGTGCGCGCGTGCGCCCCCTCCGTTTTCTCTTCCCACCACACGCTGCGTAGGTAGATGGATAAGGTCTGGTGGATACCCACGGCCACGGGAGCAATTCGGTCGACCGAAGTATGATGTGTTCTGAACGACGCACACTGTTGAGTGTTCGACTTACTTTTTTCTGGAGTTACTTAATG